CCCAATTGGGGCTGTGTGGGTGGCAACCAGTCAATGTGTCTCTCTCACATTGATGTTTCTCTCTCTCTTCCTCCCTCTCTCCCTCTCGCTCTATCTGAAAAAAATGTCCTCAGGTGAGGATAAAAAAAAAAAAAATTAACATGTCAGTGTGGACTGCCTACCCAATAGCCATTCTCCTCTCCCCTCTAACCCAAAAACCCCAATGTATGGGTATGGCTACACGCCTAGTTGAACACTCCCCTGCAACTTAAAGTGGTGGGTAAGACCCAGTTATGACCAGTGAAATGTAACTAAAAGTCTACCTGGGGAGGTCTCTGGCTACTGTTTTCCTAGAAAGGAGGGAGGGAGGGACACACTTGGTTAGTATGCACCTTGTACTCTTCAACTATCCTCTCTTCCTCTCTAGAATGCAGCTCTGATCCTTGTGGAATAACCAGCCATTTTGTAACCATAAGAAGAAGTCACAAGCTCCAGATGGCAGAGCTGGAAGCTAGAAGGGGCAAGGGCGATGCAGGACATTCTCCAGTGACTGCACCAACCCTCCTCTGCCCTCCTCTGGGCTTCTTGCTATGAGAAAAAGCATGCCTGTTTGATTCAAGTACTGGGGTTGAGTTTCTGATGGATGTAGTCAAATTCAACACTAACAGACACATGAGAATACCTGAAAATCAATCCATCCTAAAAGAGCAGGAGTTTGAAACTCAAATGGAAATAGAAGCCAGGCAGATCAAACATGAGTAAATCTGCCCAGGTGTATTAAAGTAAGAAGTGGCGAAACGGAGAGGGCAGGCCGCATGTAAACAAGCACTGTTACCAGCTGCAGCCAGCTCCAGCCAACTGCCGCCATGTGGGAATGCCAGCCCAGCATTCCCACTGTGCCAAAACTTCTGATTTGAAAGAGAAGCCCAAAATCTGGATTTTCACATAAAGTTTCCAAATTTATAAATGATAACCAAGTAAAAAAAAATTTAACTCTGTCCAGATCAAACAAGACTTGACTGTAGGCTAAATTCAGCCTGAAGACCACATGACTGTAGGCTAAATTCAACCTTAGTAGAGAGGGTTAAGGCAAACTAAAAAGAACACCCAAGTTGAGAGAAATAATGGTTAACAATATATTGAGCATTTATGTGTCAGACTGCATTAAGAACTTTACATCTATTACCTAATTTTTTTCTCTTATGGAGTATGTAACATTAAAAGCCCTGTTTTTCCAATGAGAAAATTGAGGTTTAAAGAGGTTAAGTAACTTGCTCAGTCGGAGTCATAGAACTAATAATGCGTGACAGAGCCAGGATTTGAGCCCAGGCCAGTATGACCCACCTGTATGACCCCAAGACCTGTGCTATTATGCACTCTTATCAGGAATGTCCATTGCACCCAAAAAGTACAAAAACTGTTTCGGATACCTTCTAGTCAAACTATGGATAAATGAGGACCAGCCCTGAAGAGCCTTCCAAGTCAGTTCCAAAAGAAACCCAAGCTTACATTCTCCTATTTTGCTGCCCTTTACTAAAAACAGCAGAGCACTGTCCAAATAACTCATTTATTTGCTAGTTTATTGAATGAATGAATGCCTGTGACATGCTTTTTAGTTTATTAAAGTACTTTTAAATGCATATTTCGCTTAATCCCCACACCAGCCTGGCAGTATTGTTACCACCATTTGACAGATAATAAAATGGAGGATTACAGAGATTAGTGGACTAGTTCAAGATCCAGGCAATTAATTAACAGAGCTCTCACTCTCACACTCTCTGTTCCTCTGATGCCAAGACCTGTGTTCTCTCTCTTCTAGCAGGCCACTTCTTTGCTTCCTTCACCAGAGCGCCCAACTCCACCATCTCACTTTCAAGTAATTTGCTTGAACTAATTCCCACTTAACTCTAAAGTAACTCCAGTATGTCTGACAACCCCCAGGTACCATATTTACGTTTTCATGAATAGCTTCATCCTAGAATATAGTCAGCGAGAACAAAAATAAATATATCAAGTAATACACTCGGAATGTAAATGGGCAAACACACAAGTCTTGGGATCTAATTTTAGAAAGAAACAGCCAAAAAGTCCCACACAGCACAGTAAGCATCTGGCCTCCGGTGGGGGTGTGGGGGGGGGTGGCTGCCCACACTGCTTTAAACCTCAATTAACCCAGGGAGAGAAGGAATCCTGGAATTCTAACTGGCATTTCACTGTCAGATAGACCAACTGGATAAAGAAGAGAATGACTTTTCATTATGTTCCCCTGAAAAATGCTAATGCCCACAATAAACAACAAAAAAAGGGAACTGTGTCTCAGGAAATAAAAGTATTCCAGAAAGGCTGAAACACTAAAAGTTTCACCATTGTCTGTGACTTTGGAGTTATGTGCTTACAGAACCGACTCTTGCCTGGAAGCCAAGGGGAAGGGGATGGGTAGATGAACAGTGCTTACTGACCTCAGCCTAGGAGTTGATTTGGTATGGGGGCCACATAGGGCTTCAAGGCCATCAGGTCATTCCAGGACATCTTGGCCCATCACAGGCTCACTCACCTAACCACTATAGGCTATAACCTCCTTCACAATTAAGTAGACTTGTAGTTAGTCTTCCTAACTGCCAATAATCATAAGAATATAAGTTCTGTTATGGCAGGGAATCTTGTCTCTTTTGTTCACTGAAATATGCCAACCCCTAAAATGGTACCTGCACATAGTGAGCTTCAATAAATATTTGTTGAATAAATGAGTAAGTTATCTGGTATTGGGATGGGTCCTCCTAGAACCATAGTCTAAAGTGGCCAGAGGCCAAGAATAGGTTTCCATTAACCCAGTCATCTGCTTGCCCATTTTTTTTAAAAGATGTACACTACACCATGGACACAGACAACCATGCTGGGGGGTGGGGTGGGATGAGAGTGTCAATGGGGGAAAAGGAGAAACATCTGTAATAAATAAATAAATAAAATAAGATGTACACTACTGCAATTCAAGCTTCCTGAGATCCAGGGTTGGGGCTGGTATGTCTTCTTTCATACTATACTACCATCCCCCATAACTGTGTCTCCAATGTTCCATTCTCTGCCAACTCCTCACCCTGTAACAGTATTATTCAGCTTCTAAGAGCCCCCATCACATACTATGCATGTCACCCCCCTCATCCTTTGCAGTGTCAACTACATGCCTGTTCTGTGCCAGGCACTGTGATAAACAAAGATGTGCAATGGTGAGACACAACCCCTGCCTTCCAGAAGCTCAGCCTGACATGTCAACTGTCAGAATACAATGTAATAAAAACTATAATGGAGGTGCTATGGCCAAAGTCACAGACTGACAACCTTCAGACCTAATTTAGGCCACACGGCAATTTAATCTTTATAATTAATTGCTAACCTCTAAACATGTGTTACTCTCACATAAAATTGTTGACTGCCAACATCTCCTGCAAAGTCAGAGGATCTGGCAACACTGGGCCTGTGTTCCCCACAGCGTCAGCCAGCTCTGGCTAGGTAGTGGTTACCCCTTTGGAAGGGACACATGGCCTCAAGTTCCCAGAGTACCCCCACTCATCCTCTCCCTACTGTCTTCAGGCAATGAGGCCAAGGGTCAGCTGCCAGCTTTTCTGTACTGGCATGGTTGGTATCTTAGAGAAATGATTCTCTGTACCCACATATCTACAAAATACGAGAAAATAAAAGATAAATTGAAAGAGTTATGTGGAGCACTTGAAGAAATGATGGAAAACTTATTTTGTATAAAAATGAAGAACATTCCTATACATGTGATATGTAAGTAAGGTGTGTCTGTGTCTTGTCCCTAGCATGCTGTGCTCTTGCACATTCCTGCCCCATTAGGCCTCTCAGTGACATCCCCTCCTCTATTCTAAACCTACTATGGGCCCACAAGCTAGACAACTGAGAAGCCAGGTTTCCTGCTGAGAACTCACTGTCTAGTGGGGCTGACAGACATGTAAAACAAAAATCAGCATATAATGTGAGGTGTTCTACAATAGGTACCGTGGGAACTGAGAGGAAAGAGTCCCACGTCAGCCTGGAGATAAGCTAACAGAGGGGCTTACCCTGACACTGACTCTTGAAAAGGGCAAAGTTTTTTTCTAACTGACAGAGGAAGGTGAAACTGCCAAAAATAGTACCTTGGCATTAAAAGTATTGCTTATGCCCTGGCTGGTTTGGCTTAGCGGTTAGAGCGTCGGCCTGCAGACCGAAGAGTCACAAGTTAGATTCCGGTCAAGGGCACATACCACGGTTGCAGTTTGGTCCCTGGCCCTGGTCGTGTCACGCGGGATGCAAGCAATCAATGTGTCTCTCTCACATTGATGTTTCTCTCTCTCTCTCTTTCTTCTACTCTGTCTGAAAATAAATGGAGAAATGTCCTCAGATGAAGATTTTTTAAAAAAAGTATTGCTCATTAAGATTATCCACTCTCCATAAAGAAACTGGATAAATTCCCATAATTCTAGGCCACTCAGAGGAAAACTTTCCAGGAAAGTAAGGCCAACAATGATCCCTTTCCTGCCTGAAAACTTTAGGAAGTGCAGGTCCCCACTAAAAGTCAACGTCCAGTTATATAATCTAACTTTATGTCACCAACATGCCTCACTGGCCTTCATTCAGCAGAAATAAAAACCTGGATTTTGAAACTTCCCAGTCCCTTGCTTCATCCATCTTGAGGAAGTTCTTCACTGACAATACAAAGTAATACACAGAGACTACTCTGGCATCAAAGATAAAACAGCCCTGGCCGGTTTGGCTAGCGGTTGGAGCGTTGGCCTGCGGACCAGAGAGTCCCAGGTTCAGTTCCCGCTAGGGGCACATACCAAAAAAAAAAAAGATAAAACGTTCATTTTCCATTTCTAACTAACAGGACAAGTGTCAAGGAAGGGAATTCCCAAGTCAAGACAGGAGAAGAGCTAACGTTAAAGAGAAGAAATATGGAATACCAAATCTTTGCTCATTAAGTAATTGCTAACTTTTAGCATTTCTTCAGATTTTTTAACACCTACCTCTCCAGTCAAAATAGAAGAATCCTTGCCACTGAGGTGATTCTCGGCTTGAGTTGACTCCTGTTGAGCTCGGCGACCCATCTTGGCTCCCTATAAGGAGAAATTAGGGGTACTGCTGACCCAGACACCTTTGGGCCACTATGAGGACATGAATTCTGGGAAGGTAAGCAAGAACTGGATTTATGAATATATAGTGGAGGATGGGATTTGAGTAGTCCGAATATATTCTTAGAAAATGGTCCAAATCCTAAAAGCAATAAGGTCAGTTCTATTTGGTAGAATACGAAATTCATGGGTTAATTCAGAGGTTCTGTATTTCAAATACTTTACAGTACATAAACAAAACTTCATTTAGGCATACCAAAGGGTGTTAAATACTTGTCTATTCATTTGTTGACTTTTAAAAAAATAAATAGCATCAATATAAATACTTTTAGACCTTATATGATATAGCTTCATTTGATACTCAGAATAACAGGGACTGGGACTGATACCATTTTACAAATGAGGAAATTGGGGCCCAGGAAGGCAATTAAGTGGCAGACATAGGTCTAAAGGCAGAATCTTCTTGTCTTCAAATCCTGAGTTCTTTCCACCATACCATGCTGGAATTTCAGTTTTAGGATGTTCTAAGAACTAACTGCACCAATAAATTGAGGTGGGTTACATGGGAGCCACATAAAAACCCTCATGGAGTGTTTACATTTCAAATTTTAATCAATCATTTAGGTCCCAGGGATGATGGAAACACTCTTTCTGATAATAAGCAGCTCACTTTCCCCCCAAGGCAGACAATTCCATTCTTTCACCTGTGCTTGCCATTTTCCATCTATCAAAGCAGTGGATATATAAATATGGCATACTACATGCAGTGGTTGTGCTGAAACAAAAACTCAGTGATCCTGTCTCTAAATGCTGTTTATAGATGGTTTCTCTAATAATTAAGTATTTTAAAGTTTTAAATGTTTCGAAGACCCTGTATAAATCCACCTGTATGACTGGTAGAAAAACTTTATCACTACCCGATTTTACATATTTTAAATGTATAGTCTGATTATTGTTCCTCTAGCCCCACTGGAATATAAGCCCCATGAGGGTAGAGATTTTGCTTTACTCACTGCTGTATCTCCAGCGCCTAGGAAAATGCCTGATACAGAGCAGGGGCTCCATAAATATTCGTTGAAAAGATGAATCAAGAACTACATTCACGTGCCCAGGTACTAAACAAGTAAGTTCACAAATCAGAAAGTCCTGGTGACCTAATCCTCTCCTTGGTCAGTCAGTCAAGCAACCTGCTTCCTCCTAGAACAGTGTGTTCCTACCCCTCAGCTCTCCCTCAGAGAGGCGCTCCTTGTCAGTACCTTGGAGGACATCAGATGCTATCAGGGCATTAAAAAAAAAGAGAAGAAAAAAAAACTTTTTTTCCACAGTGTAAACTAAAGATCTGCTCTGTGGGTCAATCTTTTAGCAAATGTGATCCTGACAATTTTACAGGTAAAAAGGCTGGGGGCCGTGTGTGTGTGTGTGTGTGTGTGTGTGTGTGTGTGTGTGTGATGGGAGTTCAAACAAAACAAAACAAAAATCCCTGAACACCTAGCATATGCCGGGCACTCTGTTAAATCCCTTTTCCTGCACTGGCCTCCCTGGTCTCCACTGCGACTCCTTAAAGGTAGGTATCAACGTCATTCTGCAGAAAAGGGCACCGAGGTTCCGAGAGGTGAACTTTAAAAACCCCCGCAACAGCCTTATCCTCCATCTGCGCTCCGGGCCCCCGCGCCTGGCCGCTCCAGTTACAAATCTGAGTCTTGATTTCCTGAACTGTGAAACTGAGGTAAAGCCCACCTCCCCGTGGGGGTACGTGCAAAAAACGGGCCCTGCGCGTGTGCCTGCCGGCCTTCCATCAACGAAACAGCTCGGTTTTTACGTGAACTGCGGCATGAAAAGTCCGACGGGAACGCTCTAGAATAGGTTGGCCCGGGCCCCTCCGGTCACCCTCAGACCTGTCCTTTCTAAGGGTGTTCGCACTTGGGGCTCCAGAAAGCAAAGAAAAACGGGGACATTTTCCACGGGCCCCAGAGGCCGGCGGGGGCGGAGCGGATGAGACCGCCGCCTCCCCTCCGGCCGCTCCGCAGGGCGACTCCGGGCCCGCCCGCTCCGGCCGCCAGGGACAGGCCGCACTGAGGCGCCTCAAGGAAGCCGGGCCGGCGGAGTCGCTCCTCCCCATCCGCCAAATTCTGGCCCCAACCCCCCGCCCGGCCCCGCATCGGTCCTCACGGAGGTGGCCGGGCCGCGGCGCCGCTCCTCGCCTAGGTCCAGCACATCCTCCATCTCCGCGGCCGCCTGACGTCACTTCCTGGAAACCTAGCGGCCCCCGCGGCGTCCCTGACGATGGCTCCGCCCTTCCGTCCCAATATTTAAAGGGTCGCGGCATTATTCCTGGATTCTCTGTGCCACCTTCTAACTTAAATATTTCCTAAACCTGCCTTGCTTGACTTCCGGGAGATCCGGGTATTATATCCCACCAAGGCTGCTCCTGTGGAACAGTGAAGACACATTTGTCCTTTTTTGAATACATACGCTATAAAGTGCAAAGCATTACTCTTAGTAGTAGTAATTATTCTAATCCCTCCCATTGTATATAGCTTTTTGCAATGAACAGAGGACCTTCACAGTTATTAGCTCATGTGACGAGCATAACAATCTTGTGTGGGAAGCAAGAAAAACTGCATTATCTCCATTGGACAGATGAGAAAACGGGCTACAGGGAGTCAGGTGTTAATAAATAATTTATAATGAAAAAAGCAATATACATAATCTCTGCCTTCAAAAAGTTTACAGAGAGTCTGAACTAACACATCAAAAACTTGAGTAGTAATAACTTGCACAAGTCAAAGAATCCAACCACCCATAAGTAAGCGGCAGCAACAGTCAATGATTCAACAACTGAAGACACAGGTGCAAAGAGATGGCTTGAGGAAATCATTGAGCAACAGAGCTAGGTGCCTTTCTGACACCATATCTTACTGTAGTATTTTTTGTCAACACATATTATTGGGTGCCAGCCATTTTCCTAGGCCAATAAAAGAAGATAACTCCCAAATTCCCAGTGTAGGGGAGGAAGAAGCTTTCCTTTACCCTCTGGGTTCTTTTGGCTGGTCTAATAATCAAATCAACACGAGGCAGATTAACAAGAGAAGATAACCAAATTTAATTACATAAGTATGGGAGCCCCATATACATGAGTTCAGACACAAAAAGGGAAAATAAGGTACATGTGACATTCTGACCTAAGAATTAATTAAGGCACCTTAGGGCTTCAGAGGAGATGAATATCATTGCAGGAACAGAAGAGCAGATGTTCAGTAATTAGAGGTTTGCCCTACCCTATAGATAGACAGAGATATAGATATAAAAAGTTATTTCTGGTTATAACTCTTATTATGGCTAAGACCTCTAATTTAAATTCTTTTTTTTTTTTTTATCCTCACCTGAGGATATTTTTGCATTTATCTTCAGATAGAGCAGGAGGGAGAGAGGGAGGAAGAGAGTGAGAAACTTCATCGATTGGTTGCCACCCACATGACCCCAACCGGGGCAGGGTCAAACTGCAACTGAAGTATTTGCCCTTAGTGGGAAGGGAACCCGGGTCTCTCTGGACCGAAGGTCGGTGCTCTAACCGCTGAGCCAAACTGGCCAGGGCTAATTTAAATTCTTTAAGGGAGAAGTAAAAGTTTTATCATGAGCCCGAAGGGTGTCCACTGTCTTCAGCTCAAAATAATTCACACGTCAAAGTGGCACGTCTTGGGTAGACCTGTTCTGAACCCCTTCACCAGCCTAATGGAGCAAGCGAGTTGAATTTTCACTGACTCTCCATAAGATCCCAAGTCAACACCACTGGTTGTGTCCCTGGCTCTGGTCATCTGGGACTCCCAGAAAATGGGTTCATGGCCCTGAAAATGAGAAATGTCTCCAATATCACACTGGGGGTAAGGCCTGGATGGCCACTGCTTAAAAGCAGGGACTTGGAAGTGTGAGTAGCAACCCTAAATCTAGATTGCAAGCATATTTTAAATACCCAGCAAATTATTCAGTTCAATCATTCAGCCACACATTTACTGGGTAGGGCTGTGACAGCAACAGCATTGCCTGGATGTCAGAAGAGTTGAGGTCTTACCCCAGCTCTGCTGATAACTACCTGTGTAGCCAGGAAGAGCCTCTCCGGACTCAGTTTTTTTCCTTGTCATTACTCTTAGAAATTATCCCTAAACCTTTTACTTACTAACTCTGATTCTCAGTGAGAATACCCTATTTGATTTTAATCTGAAGAAACATTCACTGCCAAAAATCCAAAACAGATGAAATACAGGCTCCAATAAATCCAGGCTCCAATAAATCCCCGTTCCCTTCTTCCTTGGCACCAGAAAAGGAAGAAGACATTAATCTTTGGATTTTTTTCATTTCTTGTGAGCTCATAGCTATCCCACCACCACCTCATAACTAGTTTCCAAACCTTCACTCCCACTTCTTCCCCAACTTCCTGAAAGCAGAAGTTGACAGCTGCTCACTCTGGGCAGAAAGAAGCCCTAGAGTAGTGTGGTTTCCAAACCTTGTTGGGCACCTGACTCACTGTGTGGTTTGTTAAAAGAACATTTAACAGAACCCCATCCCTAGAGACTGATTTAGTAGAGGTGGGGTCCAGATATAACTTTAACAATTGTCCTGCCTATTTTGCAAGTGTTTGCTTAAAGGCTTCAGTAAGGTCTCCTCTGATTTAAAATTGCAACATCTATCTTAAATTCTAACATTCCCCAACTAGGTACTCCCTATCCTCCTTCCCCGTTTTATTTTCTACCATTTATTGCCTTCCCCACCGTCACATCACCACCTCTAGAATGTAAGCTCCATGAGGGCTAGTTTTGTTACTTAGCTTGTTTATGTTCCCTGCTGTATCCACAGAGCCTGTAATAGCGCCTGGTATATAGTAAACATCAAAACTATTTTCCAAAGGCTGGCTGAGTTGCACAGTCAGTGTAGCATAGTTATTATATTCACAGACTTGCAATAGGCTCCTCAGTCTAACGATTGGTATTGACACCTACTGGCTATATGACCTTAGGCAAGTTATTTTTAAGCTTTCTACACCTAAGTGTCCTCATTTGTTAGGCAGATGACAATAATGCCTACCCAAACCCGACAGCCTGTGTTAAATATCACCGCCACCACTCATAAGCAGTGTGGCCTTTTCAATCACTCCGTGCCTCAGTTTCCTCAACTGTAAACTGATCAACCACTGTCCCAGTGAACATCCCCCTTCGTTCAGTAGCCTAGGAGCCAGGAGCAGGCGCCAGACCTGGCTAGAAGGGTCCTGGAAGGCTGGGGTGAAGTGGGGTGGTTGGCAGGGAGCAACGCTGATCCCTAAGAAAGTAATTCTAATCAGGAGCCAGTTCTGTGTGGATTCTCTCCTGGGAAAATACCTAGAAGCCTGGGCTGGTGAAAGGAAGGGAAGCGGAGAGAAGAATTCCCCTCACCCATCTGGGAAATGGGCTCCTGCCAACTGCTGACTTCGCGCTCGCTGGCGCAGATCCCCGCGGAACCCCGGGCGGGAGGGAGGCTGCGAACATCTGGAGGACATTTCTGCGAGAGCGGCTGCAGAGCAGGGCTCGGGGGAGGGAGAGGTGCACTTGTACGTACGTCGGGCCGAGAGGGAGGCTGCTCCCCACGGGCCGGGCTTGTTTTCCTCTGCCTCTCTCCAAGGCCCCTCTCCCCAGCCCCCGGTCCCAGCCCCAGCCCCCCGCCCTCCCTGCCTTCCCGGCTCCGACCCGCAGAGCCTCTGTCACTGGCGGTCTGGCCTCGCCAGAGGGCACCCTCGATCTGCCGGAAAACGCCACCATTTTCAGTGCCCCTGGAGCATCTCCAGGCTTCAGCAAGCCGCCCGACTCCAATCTTGTCAATGAAGAATCGGGGCCAGGATGGCCGCGGAGCTGAACCCGACTCCGAGCCCGTTCCAACACCGGGCGTCACCCTCCACCGGGGGTGGCACGACCGCTGCTGCCCAGGCCCCGCGTGCTCCCGACCCTGCCCCGTGTCCGGCCTGGCCCGGGGGCGGCCCGGGACGCGGGGCCGGGGAGGGAGCGAGAGACCAGCCCAGGAGAGGACGGACTGACAGCTGGAGAGGGAGAAGGAGTTGGGGGAGAGGAGGGAGGGGATTCACCGGAGTAACTTTCCAGAAAAACAGTCAACGTGTAGCAGGAGTGACTCCAAGAGGAGAAAAAAAGTTCAGTTACCACGTCGAACGAGAGGACTCGCAAAGTATTTTTCAAATGGGCTCGGCTTTTCCTGTGCCTGTTTAAAACATTAAAATCGTGCAGCAAAAGAGGCTGCGTGCGCTGGTCCCTCCCTCCCCCACCCGGACCAGAGACGTCATCGGAGGGAGGTATAAAATTTCAGCAGAGAGAAATAGAGAAAGCAGTGTGTGTGCATGTGTGTGTGTGAGAGGGAGAGGAGCGAGAGGGAGAGGGAGAGGGAGAAGCAGGAGGGAGAGAAAGGGAGGGAAGACGAAAGCCAAGTCCGAGGGAATGAGCAAGGGAGGCGAGAGATAGGGGAAGAAGCATGAGAAAGAAGGAATAACAGCTTTCCGGAGCAGGCGTGCAGTGAGCTGGCTTCTATTTTATTTTTCTTCTCCTTTTTATTTTTTAAAGAGAAGCAGGGAACAGAAGCAATGGCCGGGGGAGAAGACAAGCCGAGGTGCTGGTGACCCTGGGCGTCCAAGTGGATTATTGGGGCTGCTCTCCAGGGGCCTGTCCTCACTGCCTTCCAATTGCACATAACCCCACATCCCAGCCAATGAAGACAAGAGGCAACGTGAACAAAGTCATTTAGAAAGCCCCCGAGGAAGTGTAAAGCAGAGAAAGCATGAATGGTGTGCCTGAGAGACAAGTGTGTCCTCCGCTGCCCCCACCTTTAGCTGAGCCATCAGCAGCCCAGCCCTGCCTCTCCCCACCTACTCACTGGTGATCTGACTTTCCTTTTTTTTTTTTTTTTAACAATTTTTTTTTTCTTTTCCATTCTCTCTCCTTATTTTCCTTCAGGGCAAGGCAAAGATTTTGATTTTGGGACCCAAGCCATGGTCCTTCTGCTCCTTCTTTGAAAAACCCACTTTCTCCCCATCGCCAAGCAGCCTTTGGCAATATCAGATATCCGCTCTATTTATTTTTACCTAAGGAAAAACTCCAGCTCCCTTCTTACTCCCAGCTGCCTTGCCACCCCTCCCAGCCTTCTGCTTGCCCTCCACCTGGCCTGCTGGGAGTCAGAGCCCAGCAGAACCTGTTTAGACACATGGAGAAGAAACCAAGAGCTACAAGGCACACAGTCGGCTTCTTCGTGCTCAGGGTTGCCAGCGCTTCCTGGAAGTCCTGAAGCTCTCGCAGTGCAGTGAGTTCATGCACCTTCTTGCCAAGCCTCAGTCTTCGGGATCTAGGGAGGCCGCCTGGTTTTCCTCCCTCCTTCTGCACGTCTGCTGGGGTCTCCTCCTCGCCAGGCCTCGCAGCCCCCCTGGCCTCTCTCCCCGACTCGCACATGAAGATGCACTTGCAAAGGGCTCTGGTGGTCCTGGCCTTGCTGAACTTTGCCACAGTCAGCCTTTCTCTGTCCACTTGCACCACCTTGGACTTCAGCCACATCAAGAAGAAGAGGGTGGAAGCCATTAGGGGACAGATCTTGAGCAAACTCAGGCTCACTAGTCCCCCTGAGCCATCGGTGATGACCCACGTCCCTTACCAGATCCTGGCCCTTTACAACAGCACCAGGGAGCTGCTGGAGGAGAGGGAGGACGTCTGCACTCAGGAAAACACCGAGTGGGAGTACTATGCCAAAGAAATCCATAAATTCGACATGATCCAGGGGCTGGCGGAACACAGTAAGTCCAAATTCTCACTGGGGTGCCTGCTCTGGAGGGTCTGAATGGAGTAGGGAGTTCCACTGAGGGGGGTCTAGTGGTGGCCACACAGCAGGGTGCCCCTGGTTCACCCATGCCAAGGCTCAGAAGGTGCAATTCGCAGTTGGGGCTGGGTAGGTGGGTGGGGAGGGAGACAGAGCCATTCTGGTAAGACCCGGGTACTTCTGGGAGGCCAAGAGGCTTGCTGAACTCGCATCACATCCTTAAGCGATTTTAATTTGGAATTGCATTGTGTTGTCCCGTGGACATATGGGCTCTCGCACATGCAGGCAGATCGGTGACCGTAGGCATATAGGTGCCATACAGGGGCAGGGCTGGCTTTCTGAAGCCCTACAGTTCCATGAATCTGGAGACCCGTGTCTTCACCCTGCTTTTCACAATTCACTCTGACACGTCTCCGGTTCAGTTTTTCCAGTTCTTGGGAAGAAGAGTACCTGCCCCAAATCAATGTATGTTAAACTTTTGAAGCCCAGGCAAGAGGCATCTTCTTGCCGTCTGGATCCTTCAGTCTGCACCACACACGTGACCCACGTGAGCTCTGGGCATGGGGGAAGGGTACGTACCTCAGTCCACATGTACATGGGCTTTAGGGCAATGTATAGTCTGGACTTATACAGTAGGCAGATTCATGTGCTCAAAATGGGTGTCTTCCAGGCCTGTGGACATGGAGAAGGCAGGGCTGTGGCTCTCGACGTGGAGTTGATTGCTGGCGGCCCTTTTGTGTCTGCGTGTCACGGGAAGAGTGGGTGGGAGGTGTGGCCGTGGGTGCAGAGGGGACATGTGTCTGGGAGTATGTCCTCCCAGGAGGCTCCCGTCTGTGCTGAGGAGCTGGGAGGCTTCTGGTGAGACGTCTGTGTGTTTGTACACGTGTGTAAGTCATGTGTGTTTACTGAACGGGGATTTTAAAAACTTCAACATGAGAGAGAGAGATTTGGCAGATGTTGAGAAACTGACAGCCCAGGAAGGAGAAATGTGAGCCAGGGACTCTGGGAGCAGCTCTGTTTGCTTTTCCTACCAGCAGGTGTCCTCACCACCCTGACTACCTCAGCCCTGGCTCACCTGGGAGGTGGGCAGTGCCTGGAGTAGGGGCTGAAGGTGGGATGGAGCCGACAGGGTGAGGGTGGTCAGCAGGGGGGAGCTGCAGGGGTTGAAAGGAACCGGGCTAGAGAGAAGGAAGAGGAGTAGGCAGCTGATGGGTGGACCAGCTCTGGCTGAAGGTGCAAAGGGCCCCAGTGGGAGCTGGCCCATGCCAGGCCCAGAAGCCTGTGGTTACTGGGAGGGGTTCCCATTCCTGTGTCTAGTGGCTGCCTAGAGCACCCTGCCTTAGGATGTGGCTACCGTGTGGGGCGGAGGCTGGAGGACAAGGCAGAACTAGTGCTCCCTGCCCAGGGTCCTCTAGGTGGGCTGACTCAGGGTCTGCCAGGGGTCCACAGCTCCCAGAGGCACCAGCAGCTGGATGGCTAAGCCGCCCATCCCCTGGGCATCCTTCATGGCAGGAGATAGTGGCCATAGTCTTTGAAAAGGGCGGAAAGCTGAGGCCAGCAGGAGAGGTCTGAGGAGAGCCCAGGACAAAAGGGAAGGACTGAGACCTTAATGATCCAGGTCAGGAGGAGGAGTCCCAGGGAGGAGGGCTTGTGAGTCACCAGGGCCCGGCCAGCCTGGAATGTCCAGCTGAGAATGAATGAGCCAGAGAGGTGCAAGGGCACACAGGTGCCAATGGACCTCCATTTTGTGCAGATTCAGAGCCAGAGAGTGGATAGCCTTGGGAAAAGCCAGGGCAGGGCTAGGCAGCTCCAAGCTGCAGCACCAGGGCCTCGAAACTAGCAGGCAGGGGTTGGCCCTGGGGCCAGGGAGCCACGGTCAGGCAGGGAGCAAACCTGTCACAATGAGCAGGATGCTACACAGGATGTCGTAGGGAGGGGCAGGGCCCAGTGGGACATGGGCAATGCCAAGGAGGCTCGCAGGTGCAAACAGGAAGCAGGCCCAGACTCTCTGCAGCTGTGGAAGGTGACACAGAGGCTGAGCAGACACGGCCTGGGCCCGCCCTGCAGCTGGTCAGGTGCTGAGCCAGCCCTGGAGAGGCAGGCGCACAAGGCGCACTACTTATAAAGAAGGCAGTGGGCAGATGTGCACACCCAACAGATGCTGAGCCGGGGCAGAGAGCCATCCTCAGAGGCCTGGACGGGGGAAGCCTGTCCTGAACTGGCGGAGGTGGGCAGGCGGTGGAGCTGGGTCTGTGGTGGGGCACTGACAGGGTTTCCGTGCCAGAGCCGGGATGAGGGGATGAGGTCACATTCCCTGCCACATTTTGTCACTCTTAGCCCCCTCCCTTGCCCAGTGAACAGGCACTGGGAGGGAAGTGACAGCAGGAGCTGGGGCAGGAGCACAAAGTGCAGGAAACAGGGCACCGAGGTGAGAGCCGAGAGGGCAGGGCCCATCCTCTGTCTCTGCCCTGTCAGATACCCTGATTTCCCAGTTTTATAGACGAAAGGACTGAGATGCATCAATTAAGTAATTTGCCCCAAAACAGCAGGGACCCTAACCTAGTTCTGCCTGCAGAATGCACTCTGTGAAGCACTTACGCAAATGTGCAGAATACACATTAAAAGTCCTACCTTTAACCTTTAGGCTCCAATAGAATTTTGATTAACAGCATGAATGAGCCACATGTTGGACCAGGCAGGAGGGGATAGGAGCTGTTCTCTCAGTAACCCTGGGGGCAGACTGCAGAGACATAACTGGGTGCTTTCTATCTTAGCTCTGCCTATTTTTATGGCCAGGAGATTCATATTGCCACAAACTTCTCCGATTCATATTGACACAAACTTCTCCCAAATTCAGCAAAAGCGTTTTTCTTTATCTAATAAAGAGCCTCAAGCGGACTCTGCAAGTACACCACATGGAATTGGGCAATTCACCTCCCTGAGCCTCAGTTTCCTCATCTGTAAAATCAGAGATAACCTTTAAAGTCCTTTTTAGCTGAAACAATTTTATGGTTACATCTGGGATGATTCAATATAGTCTCCACTGGAGAGTGAAGCAAAGACTGTAATCCCTTTGATAATTCTCCAGGATTTTGCTATGGGAAGTGGGTTGAGGCTTCCTCTGGCCTACTGGTGGGGAACACACAGCTTTTTCAGTTCCTTTGTTATCCTTGTTAGCAAGATATCACCAGTGTGGTGTCATTTTATCTTCTGGCTTGTAATTACCTGTGTCTGGTGGGAGACTCTTATTTTTATCACAGGGCGGTGCTAAGACAACTAGCAAACCCAGAGTTCCTGAGAAAACCTGATAAATTTTAGCCTTTCTTTTTTTCTGGCTGCTACATTTAGATGTTGTTCATTCTGAAAATTAGAAGACCTATTAAGAGAGCTCATTTGTTCTAGTGCCAATGCCCTCCCCACACCGAGTCCCTGCTCGTCCAGGTGTGGTCTGGCGGCTAGGTAAATGTGAAAACTGGGGGTGCCCAGGCCCCACCGCGCCCTTACACAATCAGGATCTCAGGGGGTTGAGATCTGGGGAATTTGTATTTTCAAGCTTCTGATTGCTTCTTAGGCTCACTGAAGCTAAACACTCAGTGAGCTAGGGCAAACCCTCTCCTTAGGGGGCCTGCAAATATGAGTGCCCAGGGCCCAAGCCCAGGGCAAACTGCTCAGGACACTGGCCTCGGGTCATGGAGAGAACAGGGTGTGTAGGGAAGGTGGGTGGGGGGACCTGGAGGGCACGCGCCTCAATACAAAGGGGCACCCGCTGCCAATTCCTGCTGATGTCTGCAGTTAGGACTACAGGTCTAGCTTGACTAGATCATACTCAGAACAGAAGAAAATCTGGATCTTTCTGTGAACCTACCGAACGTTTAACACTAGCTTAAAATGTTCATGGTCTTCTAATTCAAAAATTTTAAAAAATGGTGCCTTGGCCAAACATGTCCAATCCATTTAAAGGTTAATCCATTTAAAGGTTAAATCACTAAAGCTGTGGTTTCTCAAACTTCCAGAACATCTGGAAGCCATGGCACCCTTTGCAGAGCACTATAAACTGTGGTTCTCAACCCCAGCTGCATATTAGAATCATCTGGAAATCTTAAAAAAAAAAAAAAAAAGCAAACAAGTTCTGGACCCACCCACACTCCACTACAGTGCGAATCTGTCCTGGGGAGTGGGTCCAGGCAGCATCTGTTTTTAAAGATCTCCAGGTGATTACAGTGTGCCGCGGGACGAAGAAGCTCGCCCGCGCTGACATGTGTCGCCCCGTCACCGGAACCGGCAGCCCGCTTCCTAGCAGGAACGATGCCGGCGAGCAAAGGCCCATCTATGAGCCAGGTGTCTGAAAACATTTGCAATGGCCTGGTCAAAAAACATGGTCAGCTGTTTCCAGGTTTTTCCATGAATAGTCTTCATAAATATTTTTCTGCTTGTTTTCCCCATAGCAAAAAAAAAAAAAAAAAACCAGAGAGAGAAAAAAAAATGGCAGGCATCAATCTATATATTTTGTGTGTAATGGAAAAAGTTGGTCATGATTTAATTTGTAGAGGTCGGCCCTCTAGTCCAGCGCTCAATAATACTAGTGTTCTGCAGAAGCAAGGCTTAGCCACAAAACTGACTGGGAATTGGCCCTTGTCTGAGGCATACATTGGTATTTGTAGACCCATTTCATGGAATCCTGCCCCATTTTGTTGGTGAAACCATCCTTTCACTAGATGATCTCTCAGGTCCCCTCCTACTTCCAGCATCTCCGCTTCAATAAAAGGTATCAGAAGACCTGGGTTCAAATCCCACATCTGCCCTCTACCAGCTGAGTGACCTTGTGAAAGTCATTTAACTCTCCTGACAGTCACTTTTCTCATTTGTGAAGTGGGAAATTTTACTTATTCTCATTCTCCCCAAGGACTGTTAGAAGGTCAAATGAGCTAATAAAAAAATTCTCTGAAATGTAAGGTTGTGTTATTAACATTTTGGTTACTTATTTACACTCTTATTCCACATATTATTAAAAACATCATTATTATTCAGTGGATGTCATGGTCAGGAAGATGACCACATGTTCTTTTCTCTCCTAGGGAGTTCTTTTTATATCAGTAACAGTTGCGTCTGAACTTTGCTTATTAGTGTCAATTTGCTCATGTGTGACCCTGGCCAAGACCCCTCTGGACATTAGTTTCTTCATCTGGAGGGGTTTGCACTGAATGACTCCTAACATTCGTTCTAGCTGTTAGACATCTGTAGATCCCAGTGATAAAAAAAAAAAAAAATGACCCTCACCTCCTTGAAATCTCCTTGACATTCCCACCCACAGGAGTCCTTAAGGAACAGATACCTGATTGATGGGCTGGAAGAAACCAAGGAGGGATGGTCACTGGGGTGTCTTGAAGACTCTCGGAGCTCATCGCTCCCCCATCTCCTGGCTGCCCGTTGTCTCGACTCTCCTCACACATTTTCTGTTCCCTTTTCCTTTTTACAGCAACGCACACATTGCACTGACATACCCTCTCCTCGCCCTTTCGGCAGTTCCTGGGGGGCTGTTGTAACTGAAGCCACGGGATGACAGCTCCCTCCGGAACCAAGCCTGCCAGTGCTGGAGAGGTTGCCAGGCCCAGTAGCTTATCCATGTCTAGAGGGTTACAAACGTGCAAACTTGAAAATTAAATGGCCATCACGATTCCTCTTTTTGGTTCTCTCTGAAATGGTTCAGGGAATACTCGGCAGTGTTTGTTCTTTCAAAGCCCGCTATTAATCAGGGCTTCGTTAGCCGGCATTCACGCATTTGTTTTCCTAACATCTGTTCCATTAATTTCCCAAGAACCAGTGTCAGGTCCACCAGATGGCAATTTCCAGAAACACTCACTCATCCTTTCCTAAAGATCAGTAGCGCATTTGCTCGTTTCCAGGCCTCTGATCCTTCCCGCCTTGTCCGTGACTTCCTAAACCACCCCTTGGGTGATTATGAGCTCATTCCAGCCATGTCCATTATGTGTGCAATCTGGGTCTCTGAGCTGGAGTTTCAAGTTCTGTTACCATTTGTGTAGAAAGTTTTTCTCTGGGTGTTAATGCTGCTCAGACCTTGAGGTTGTAAAGTGTGCAGGAGAAAAGACAAGATCTTTCCTTTATCTGGCCCTCGGCAGAGGGAGAGAACATCCGCTGCCTCCTGTCTCAGGGACAGGGATGGAGACACAGTGGGGTGACAGAGGATGGCATGGCACGTGCCATCGAGGGAAGAAACCCTTAGAGAGGAAGGAGCCAGCTCGGTCTGAGGAAACATCTAAACACCTGTGGGTCTGCCGGGCTGGAGATGTGGGCTCTTTGCCAGACCAATGCTGCCTCATTGGGTCTGAACTCAGTGTGGGTTATGTCGTGGAACTGCTCTGCCACTTTCCATGGCTCCCTACTGTGAGTGGGACAAAATCCAACCCCTCCATCTGACATTTCAGCTCCCTGCAGGTGGGCCCCAATCTTCTGTCTTGACCTGATCTCATCTGCTCCAGCCTGGCCGCTTGGGGTCCCTCTTACCCGCACTTCCTCCCCGCCCTGCCTTTGCTTCCGGCAGTCCTTCCATGTGCAATTTCTTTCCTCTCCATCCTCAGACCCTTTCCTCCTGCAGCACCCAGCTCAAATTTCTCCTCTTCCATGAAGTGCTGTCTGCTTTCTCCCGCCTCTGATCTCTTTGGAGCAACTCCTGGGCTTCTCCAAAAGCCCTCAACACTTTCCCTCTGGCCCTGTTAGTTGGGTCTGTATATTAAATAACCTCCCCTGTATATTAGTCTCCTTGAAGGCAGGGGCCATGTCCATTCATTTTTGCTACCGGTGTTAGCACTGTCCTTGGCACATAGTATTTGCGCAACACGTGTTCAATACATGAATGGATGACTGAATGAACAAACACATGAATGAACCCACTAGCTATGAGATGATTAAACTACTAGAGGGGACAGCTGAGATCTTTTGAGAATCTGCATTTTCTAAAAGAGTAGGCAGAGCAGGCTGGAAAGCCCGCCAGAGGTGATGTCAAGGCAATGGGAAGAGGGCGATGACAGCTGACTGGCCTGTCTTCAGTGCCATGTCCTGGGGCTCGGGGGTCTCTCTGCTCATCTCTCAGGTCTGTGTATGATTCCAGGGCCACCAAGGATCTTCTTCCTATCTCCCTTTTTGGTCTGAGGCCTCAAACCTCTAGAAAGGTCATCGGTGGGCTTGGCTGGTGTGACTCAATGGTTGAGCATCAACCCACGCACCAAGAGGTCGCTGGTTACAATCCCGGTCAGGGCACATGCCCAGGTTGTGGGCCAGATCTTCAGTGGGGGGCGTGCAGGAGGCAGCCAATCAGTGTTCACTCTCATCGATGTTTCTATCTCTCTCTCTCCCCCCTCCCTTCCTCTCTCTCTCAAATTAATAAAGAAAAAATTTAAAAAAAAAAGAAAGGTCATAGGTGGGACCTGGGTTCCGTGGCGAGTGTCCATTGGCGTCACACGGCTCCGGTGGGTCTCACTCGTGCTGTGCCTCTTTGCTGCTTTGTCTCCTAGATGAGTTGGCCGTCTGCCCCAAAGGAATCACCTCCAAGGTTTTCCGCTTCAACGTGTCCTCAGTGGAGAAAAATGGAACCAACTTGTTCCGAGCAGAATTCCGGGTCTTGCGGGTGCCCAACCCCAGCTCCAAGCGCAATGAGCAGAGGATCGAGCTCTTCCAGGTGAACCCCCTCCCAGAACACAAAGCAACCTGATGGGAAATTCGGCTCCTTTGCCACAGTGGCACAGAATTTGGCAGACCTGGGTGTGAATCCTGCTTTCTGAGCCTTCTCTTCCATGTGTCAGTAAGAGGATTGAGTTAACCAAGGTGCTCAAAGCAGCACTCAGAAACTTTGTTTCCTGGTCCTCTCACCTGTCCTCCTGCACTGTGACATAGCTTGTGGGACTGTCCAGGCCTCGGGTTCTTACTCCTTTCTCTGTCTGCAGATACTCCGACCAGATGAGCACATCGCCAAACAACGCTACATTGGTGGCAAGAACCTGCCCACGCGGGGCACCGCCGAGTGGCTGTCTTTTGACGTTACCGACACTGTGCGTGAATGGCTCTCACGAAGAGGTAGGTTGACTTAGAACAAGCATTTTGGAAGGAACCTCAGGTCCCTCGGTCCTTCATGAAAAGGGGGAAGAAGACAGAACTAGGGGAGTCACAGACCTGGGTTTAAAGCCTAGCTTTGTGTCCTTCACGCATTTGCTCAACTGTCACTTATGAAATGCTCACCCTGAGCCAGGTCCTGGGCTCAGCAGTGAGCAAGACAAGTGAGGTCCCAGATCTTATGGGGCATATGCTCTGGTGGGAGAGACACATAATATGCAAATAAACACATTGACAAATAAGAGTACCACGAAGAACAGAAAGCGGGCAGTGTGACCATGGCTGGGTGGGGTCCAACACGGGTGCTGGGGAGGGTCCCTAAGAAGAGGGAATTTGTGCACTGAGGTCCGAGTGATGAGGAGCCAGCCAGTGAAAGTCAGGATAAAGGATGTTCTAAGGCCAGGAAACAGCAAGGCCCAGGCTCCCGGCGGGAACAAGCCAGATTTGTTCTAGCGGCAGCAAACAGACTGGCGTGGCCGGAGGTGAGTGGGCTGGGGGTCAGAGAGCTAGCTGGGGCCGTATGATTACAACCTGTCAGGTCAGGTTTAGATGCGTATTCCAAGTGCGATGAGATGTCCTAGGCGGGTTGTGAGCAGGGCTGGGGGTATGGGGGGAGGTGATTTGTTTTATATCTCTGGTTGCCACAAGGTCAAGGACAAAAGCAGGAACACCAGGTAGGGGCCTCGCAGCAGCCTTGAGGAGAGCAGCCGGCGCTCCTGCCAGGGCAGTAGCAGCGGATATGGATCGTGAGATCTAGCCTGTCTTTTGGAGGTCAAGCCAATAGGACGCGTGGATTGTGTATGGGTATGAGGACACAAGAGGAGACTTCTAAGATGTCTGGACTGAACTAACACTTATTGAAACAGGGAAGACTGGGAGAAGAGCATGTTTGCAGAGGTTCTGTTTTGGCTGATTAAGTTCGAAAGGCCTCGTAGCCATCCAAGGAGAGCTGTCCCTAGGCACAGCACACCTCACACGTCCCAAATGCCCCACCCACTCACTGTTTCCTCACCTGGCAAATAAGGCAATGGTTCTTTCCCCGCCTGTCACCACAGTGTCCCCCAAGAACGAGGCTGGCAGTCCCTACTTAGCATGAGAGGCTGGCTTGCTCTGCCCACTTACAGAATCTGCCTGGGCTCTGTAGGCGTCTGAGTTTGTAAGTCCCCACCTAAGGGACATTACGTGGTGGCTGAGCTGGCAGATCGTGCTGGAGGTCCTGCCTCAGCTCCAAGGGTACCCGGGAATTCCCTTCTATCCCCCTTACCCAGCACGAAGGCAGAAGCCCAGGAGAACCAGGTGGACCTGCCGACAGCGGCAGGGCTGGGGATTCTGACTCAGACAGCACTCGGCCTGGAGCCCGACGTGGCTGCAGAGGAGAGGCCGGGGAAATCAATCTCTTAGCTTCCCTGCCTGATTTTGATCAGCTCCACCTGGATTTCCTTGACGCCCTGAGCACTTGAAGGGGTTCTTATTTTCACAGCTGCAGAACTCAATGAGCAGTTTGCATTGAGAATGATTTCCATCCTCCTGGAGACATCAAAAAGATAATTTCGTAATAAAACCTATGGGTCCCCCACCCACCACCCACTGCTGCCAACTCTGAGGTTAGTTCTTCACTGGGACCTTCGGTTCCCTCTCAGCAGACGCTGCCCGCCCCCTGCGCAGGGGGATCGTGCACAGACCTTGACGTATGCAGAGCTCAGGAACCTTTTTGGAATTTGTGGCCCCAAACGAGGCAGCAGGTGGAGCAGTTGGTGGTGTGGACTACTGGGGAAACTGAGTCACGCATCTGGTCTTGCATTCATTCAGCAAACATCTGACAGCCTACTATGTGCCAGGTCCCCAGGCTGCCTTCTGGGTCCCAGAGCTGGCTGGAGCCCTCTCCAGGGCTGGGTCCCAGGCCCTCATACCCCTGATGTGCAGAGCCAGGCCTCCCCCAGCAGGTGGGGCAGGAGCACGCCCAGCATCCTGGCCCAGGACGGGTGGGACGCTGGGAAAACACAACCATTCTGCATCTCAGTGAACGTGTTGGCATCTTCCTTGGTGGTCTGTGTTGGCCCCTCTTTTCTCTCTTTGTCTCTAACAGTTAGGAGTGTAGCTCTGGCACCAGGCTGCCTGGTTTGAATCTTGGCTCCACCACTTACTGGCCAACTACCTTGGACAGCCCATTGGATTTCCCTAAGCCTCAGGTCCTCGGATCTGTATCGGGAGGGGTAGTAACAGTTCCCACTCTGTAGGGTTAATACAGAGATTAGATGAGCTAATGCACGCAAGGCTTAGAGTGGAGCCTGACGGGCAGTATGTCAACAAATGTTGGTGATTGTCATCGCTCTCTGAGCTCTCTGCCGAGACAGAGCCTTTGGCCAAGCCAGGCCATCATCGCACACTTAACACCTGTCCCCTAACCCTACCTCTGCTCAGCACATCTGTCTGCACCTTGACTGTCTAACTCACAGAATCCCAGAACTTGTCCAGTCCAGGCCTCTCCCGGCGTACTGTCAACCCTGCTGGGTAGCAGGAAGTGTACTGTGCTTTATGTACCCCGTTCGGCTACCCCGGCTCCTCTTTTAGCTGCCTTAAGCCAGGAAGAGGACACTGCTTGCACCTCCCTCCCACGGCTGCGCCCCATCAGCAGAGTCCCTAATTGTCTAATGCACCAGAATGGACACGATACCAGACCCGGTTTCCCTACACAAAATTACTGGATTCAGTTCAATTTTTTCACTTCTTATTTTTCCTTCCACTTGACTCAACCCATTTTTTACTAATTTCCTTGCTTCCCCAATTTTAGTTACCAAAACACCGGATCCCAGAGCTAATAGGAAGAGGGCCCAGAGCTGGTCCTCCTGCATCAGTGCACTCCCCACCCCCCGCCCCAGTGCACGGCACCTCACACTTGCTCGTGCTCTTCTCTGGGCTCCTGTCGCCTGGGCTCTCGGCCTCGGCCCTCTGCTGCCTGCTTGGCCGAGCTCGTCCCCACCGTCTTCCCGAGCTGTTTGCTTTCCCGCGTGAGCCACGGTTCCAGCTTCCGATGAGTGAACAAGGATTCCCAAAGAAGCCTCCAGAGAACCTTCACCTGCCCACGTCCCTGTTCCTTAAGGAAAACACAGCCAGTGTCACGGTGACTGTTGTCTTGTCCCCTCGGGGGCCTACCTCCTCATGTCCAGAGTCCCAGCCCTGGTGGAAACGCCGGCGTCTTCCGCTTAGACGGATACTGCTCCTCGTTGCCGCGGACCTGGCTCTGTCCTTGCTCCTGACATTTAGTCCTGACGCTCGGACTGGGCCACCTCGCTCCCGTCATGTGGCCCTTTGAGTCTGGGGCCTTTTGAGTCAGCGCCTGTCTGCCCCACAGTCCTTCAGGTTCCCCTTCCCTGGCCTCTCCCGGCCCCACCTCTCCCGACAAGCACCGGGACGGTGCGCCTGTTTATCTTCCTTCCTGCGCCTCATTCTTTTTGTTTGGTTAACCCCCATCCGAGGACACATAGGTATTTTTAACATTGATTTCTACAGAGAGTGGGGGGCCATCGATGAGAGAGACACACCGATGGGCTGCCCCCGCACGCACCCCGAGCCTGTGTGTGGCAGCAGAGGCCCTGGCCTCTCGTGCGGGGTGGGGAGACACCTCTCCACACACAGGTGCTTTCCTCACCGACTCCGTCTTGTTTTGCAGAGTCCAACTTGGGTCTGGAAATCAGCATTCACTGTCCCTGTCACACCTTTCAGCCCAATGGAGACATCCTGGAAAACATTCACGAGGTGATGGAAATCAAATTCAAAGGTAACAAAGTGGATAGGACAGGAGACCCCTACCAGCCCGCAGGCAAAGGAGCCACGTCCCTCACAGAGATGGCCCGCTCCTTGTGCTCCAGTAATTCTGCTTTGCCCCAAAGCAGTGCGTGTGGCTGTCAGTTTCTAGATACAGAGCACACGTTAGCATCTGGAAGATGCTGTCATGTTGGTAAGAGCAGTGCAATCATGTAGGTAAGCGGTACCACCACTCGGGCTCGTCAGTAAAATGGGGGAGAGAAGACGCCTTTCCCAGGGTTGTTATGCAAACGAAATGCGTTAAGTGAATAATAATACAGTGTCAGGGATGCTCAACAGATAAGAGTTGTCTTCCCCTTCCCTGAAAGAAATGAACTTTGGTGGCTGTGAACCAGAGTCCTGGCTCCTGAGCCTGCCAGGTGTCACGGAGCCCCTGTGGTCCTTGCCCAGGGGGCTTCAGGGCTCTGGTTTGTGATGAGAGGGCGAAGAAGCTGGGAGTCGTTTCGGGTTTCGCAGTGTGTTTCCAAGGCTCTCAACCTAGACGACCTCTGGAGCTCAGGGACGTGGACTTTCCCTTTCGTCGTCCGGTTCTGGGTAACTGGGGCACACCTGAGGCCAGGTGGTTTGTCAAGGTCAAAGCCTGAGGTCAGAGGCTCTCTGGGAAAGGGTGCAGGTCTCTTGGCTCCCTGCCCTGGGCAGCGCTTTTACCCTTCAGGGGCCTCTTTCAGAGCCCCCCCCCCCCCTTTTAAAGCCAAGCATTTGACCTCATAATTACAGAACCTCAGTGCCAGAAGATCTTTGGATCCTTACCTACAGGCCAGATTAGGACAACGTCCTCCCACTTCTGCCTCGTTCATGAAGATGCCAGGGAAGGACATTGGAAACCCAGGCCTCTCGTTAATCCCCCAGTCCCTCCGGTCACATGTATTAACCTCCTCCGCCCCATCCCAGGTGGAGATGGACAGCTGGCAGCTGTCTGTCACAGAATAGGTCTCCTTTTCGTTGCGACGCCTTCTAATTCAGTCTTCATTCTTCTCCTTTGCAGATGAAATAGGTTTGCTTTCCAGAGTTTGTTTGCTAAGCTGTTTATCGTGCACTTCGTTAGCTCATCTGAGTTTTGTAGTAAAAACTTGTTTGAAGTTATAAGTGCAATGTGAATGGGAATGATTATTCAGTCTCATTCCTCTGCTTTCATTCAAGATGTCTTAATTTGTGCACCCTAAATTACAGTAGGGACTTCTGTGCTATCTCGACCAATTCCGATTTTAAGAGGAAACCCCCCCACTCCGGGAGTCTAAGTCCTATCCCAGCGTCTAAGCTAACAGCCCAAAGGAACGTTAGGTAGCCGCCCAGTGACAGGCTTCATGGATCCCTGAAGACCCCAGGAGCACCTCGGGGACGGGGGGAGGGGCTCACTGCCCTTCGGAAGATGTACACACACAGGAGTCACGAGGGATCCGACCAGGGGTGTCTCGTGGGTTCTTCTGATACTGGTTCCTCCGCCTGGTCTCTCCCTTCCTCGCAGACCACACTGTCCCTCCTCCTGACCACGATGGGGTGGGGTGCAAGGCACCTCCACTTTGCCTTCCTTAGACAGGAGATTGCACCTTCCTTCCCTGCTGTAGGTGTGGACAGTGAGGACGACCACGGCCGTGGAGATCTGGGGCGTCTCAGGAAGCAGAAGGACCACCACAACCCTCATCTGATCCTCATGATGATCCCCCCACACCGGCTCGACAACCAGGGCCAGGGCGGTCAGAGGAAGAAGCGGGCCCTGGACACCAATTACTGCTTTAGGTGAGCCCGGGCCCACTCTGGGTCCTTGAACTCCTGAGACAGCCTTGACGTGTACCTACTGTGGGGCAGGCGCCAGCCCACGCCACACTCAGCTGAGGGTCCCTGATGCTATTCACAAACATCTCCAGTAAAGAGGATGTAGCACCTCTCACAAAGCCCTTTCTGTTTCCTGGGAGCCCCGTGGTTTCCTGCAGCCGCTCTGTGCTGGCCGGCCTCTCCGTGGTTCTCACGTTCTCAGGTACTTGCAGGGTGTGTTTGCGTGGCGGGAGCTGCCTGCAGGAATGTCCATGACAGACGTGCTCAGTTCCCCAGGAAGGGGCCGGGGGTGTGACTGGATGAGGGGAAGTAGGGCAGTCTCCATTTGCAGGGGGGAATCTGAGCGAGAGAAATTAATGAACCAATTCAGATGTAGTTGAGTAGCTACTGTGAAGAGATTTAAAAAAAATCTGTTAGTTAGGAGTCCTTAGCTTCCTGCTCATAGCGGGGCTGCTGGAGCACGCACTGCGGTTACTTAAAGGCTGAACATGACCACGTTCATGAGAAGGTTGGAAAGATCAAGTGCTTTAAGAATTTGGGGTTCATCTATGGATGCAGGGAAGGCTTCAGGAGGGTGTGGGGTCTGAGCCTTCGAGGACCAGTGAGGTTTGGGTGGTGGGGACCAGGCACTTCCGGTCAAGAAAGGAGCATGGATGGGTTGTTTTGGCTGGAGAGGACGATGCCTGGATGTATCTGGGGAGAATGATTTGGGAAATTCTTAGCCCTAAAGCTGTGTCTTCTTAGGACCGGCCGACCGAAGGAGGGCTGTTGAGCTTGGGAACCAGAAGGGGTAGGAGAGGCAATGTGGTCGCCTCCGTCTCTGAAGGCTGGCGTGTCGATTTGTTCTGTGGCGCCTAATCCGTTAGGAGTGGTCTTGGCTGCACGTGGCCGTGGCCTAAACCACGGAGGATTCTCGTTCACAGGAAGCCTGTAGCGGCAGGCTCAGGGGTGGTCTGGCTGCCGGATTATGCCCCTGGGGACACAGGCTCTCTCTCTCTCTCCAGTCTGCCATGCTTCATATGTTCACTTGCATGTCATCCGCTTGTTTACGATCACAGTGGCCGCTACAACTCCAGGTATCTCGTTGTGCTTAGGACGAGAAAGGGAAGGGCGGTGCCGGCAGCTTTCTCTTCCATCGGTGACGTCTATGTAGAGCAGATTTTTTTTGGCCAGAGTTTGCCCTCATCCCCTGCATACTTCTCCTTACGTCTGGTCATTTCTGGGTCACATGCCATCCCCGCCTGCAAGGGAGGCCAGGAAACCAAGTGTCTGGTGCTGTAGACTCTGATGGGAAGCAGCAGGGGAGAAGGGGTTAGGAATGGCGACTGAATAGAAATCAGAGACCACCTGCCACTGTTCACCGTTGGAGCCCACAAGAAGCCAGCAGCTGCCCGAGAAGGTAGCAAGTTCTAGGTCTCAGCAGATACTGAATACAGACTAGATCCCACTTGACAATGAGTATTGCCAAATGGATTTCTGCAGGCAGTAGAGTTGAGGGGGCCTGATGATCATATTTGGGGTGATCTAGGAACTGTGAGTCCGGTAACAGAAGGACATGCGTCATTTTGATTCGATGGCCTTGAGGTTTGGTCTAAGCAGCCATCTACATAGTACATAAGCTTCAGGAGCTTAGAGTTCATTTCTGGTTAGGTGCCCAGCCGGAAGGTAATACAACCAACTTCAACTAAGCTGAGTTGGCTAATGACATTCAGTGCTTGGGTTTATGTGGAGTAATTTGTGTCTCTGCTTTGACTCATGATGCAAAAGCGGGTAGGGGACCCTTTGCCTTTTTTCTCTTCCTCATCATCTCTATCTGCCTGTTATGTCCTTGGGACCATGGTCTTCAACACAGAACATGCTTTCATGGCCTCCACAGCTCCGTGCGTTAGCCGGGATTCTGTTGACTGGACCACCTCTTACGATGACCAGGAAGGACTCCAAGTGCAAACATGAGGCCATTTGTGGAGCTGTCCCCATCGCTGGTTCGCTCTGCCCTTGGTTTCCTATGTGTGTCTTTTGTGTTGCAGCAACGTGGAGGAGAACTGCTGTGTGCGTCCTCTCTACATCGACTTCCGTCAGGATCTGGGCTGGAAATGGGTCCACGAGCCTAAGGGCTACTACGCCAACTTCTGCTCAGGCCCCTGCCCGTACCTCCGCAGTGCAGACACAACGCACAGCAAGGTATGGCGCGGGGCTCACGCCACAGGGAGCCCGGGGCTGAGGGGACCGGGCCACTTGTTTCAAGTGATGCATGGACTGAGCGAGTGACTGAGCTGCAGTGAGGAAAACCCCTTGGGCGAAGGCTCTGATCTCGGCCCCTGTCCCAGCTCTACTTGGGCACCTTCGACCCTCCATAATGTCTTACAGAGTTTCGACCGCATTTCACTTGCTCTGTCTAGAGCTGCTGTAACCATCCTGGAAATTAGCTTGCTGTCACATGCCACCCCGTGTGTCAGAGATGTGTGCAGGTGGCTGGCAAGGAGTGTTGGGCCAAATGGCTTCCACCGGCAGTGACAGGGCTCGGTGATTCCAGCCTCTTGCCTGCAGGAGTTATTTAGAAAGACAATGTAGAGCACACGAAGAAGCTACATGAAACAATAGGAAGAAAAGGGAAGAGAGAGGAAGTCCGTGACCCTGAAACCAGCTTGTCATTCCCTCAGCAGGGATCAAAACCGGGGCAGTAATATGAAGCCCGGTTCCTTAAGGCTCATTATCACTGCATGTCTTCTGGGGCCCCGCACTCTGGCAGTGACTAAATGGCAATGTTTCGTGAGAATATTTCCCACCGAAGTGACCAGTTAGAGATAGGAAGACCAATCTAGGAGTGTTTATTAACAGAGAGAGAATTCCACGATCATATTGAAACTGCTAACAAGCAGGTACGGATGCCCTCCGTTCCTGCTGTGGCTGAGCAGTACTGTCACTCACGCAGACTGAGAGCCTGCCCACGGCATCCACCGCGTGCTCGGTCCCTGGAGCAGCCCCTTGAGCTGGTGGAGGGTCCCAGGCCTGCGCTTGGCTTTGCAACCACTAACATGCATCCTCCCCAGGTGCTGGGCCTGTACAACACCTTGAACCCGGAAGCATCTGCCTCGCCTTGCTGCGTGCCCCAGGACCTGGAGCCCTTGACCATCCTGTACTATGTCGGGAGGACCCCCAAGGTGGAGCATCTCTCGAACATGGTGGTGAAGTCCTGTAAGTGTAGCTGAGGCCACACCGCGACAGAGAGAGAGGAGAGAGAACTGCCTGACTGCCCACTCCTCGGGAAACGCAAATCAACAGACCTCACCTAGAGGCCTGGAGCCCGCAACCCGCAGCTTCAGGCCACCGGCTGAGACGGAGGTCCCCCTTTGGAACATTTCTTTCTTGTTGGCTCTGAGAATCACTGTGGTAAGGAAAGTGTGGGTTTGGTTAGGGGAAGGCCGAACTCTTCAGAACACACAGATTTTTCTGTGACGTAGACAGAGGTGGTGGGGACAGAGGAAGAGGAATGGCAAGTTGACAAGCCGTGCGGCAATGTGACGGGGAGCTGAGGGAGGAGGAAGGGCAGAGCACGGCCGGGACAGGGCCAGACTGGAAGACACGTCTGATCTGAGGTCAGATTTGCTCATCGCAGCCCCACGTTGGCTCCGGGGAACCTGGATCACGTCACACCCAGCAAGCGTTTTCTTCAGACAGGTTACCAAGACATGGTCCCAGCCTTGTATCTCCTACAACCTGGGATGAAGGACGAGTCTGTTATTTTTGCAAACTGTCCTCTTTGCAAACTAGCCTCTGGACATCAACCAGCATTAAGGGTCATTACAGGGGAAAAGTCCAGGTGATTTTGTTCCCAGGCCATCAACTCTATTGGGTCCTATGGATGTGTTGAACTCAGAAGCAGAGGGTGGGAGATAACCCTCTCCCGTCTGCCCTCTGGGTCCCTCCTCTCACCTTCTTCCTCGATCGTATTTCCCCTTGGACATTTGGCTAGACCCCTTCCAGGTCAGTGTGCACATATCTGAATCTGGGTGTGCACAGCCTTCGGGGCATTAAGGGCTTCCCCTCCCCCAAGACCCTGTGTCCACTGGTGTCCTGGAAGCAGGTGCTACGTGTGGGGCGCGGGGAGGTGCACGTGTGCCACACCATGACTCGGCCCCAGACGCTAGACTGAGGTATAGAGACAGATACAAATATTACTCTCAAAGTCTTTGTATAAATAAATATTTTTGGGGAATCTTGGATCATTTCATCTTCTGGAAGATCGTTTCTAGAACAGTAAAAGCTCGTTCTAAGTTGTAAACCTGACTCGGTAAATATCGTTAATCACCATTTTCTTAGTTTCCTGCCCACACCTGCTCGTCAGAGGCACCTGGACCCTGCGGCGGGGAATCGCAGAGCTGGTGACATTGCTCGGTGGGACTGCCCGCACGTGGCCGCCGCGCCGCCCCTCGCAGGTCGCACTCGGGTGTGTTCCGTTGTCTTCGGTGCGCGTCCTTCCCAGACACACACGGGACGCGGCTCCGGTGTGCAGAAAGTACGATACATGAATGTGACCTTTCACTGGGGGAAAGTCACTCGGCGTGGAGCCTTGCGCGTGGACACGTGTTCGTTTGTACGTTCACTGTAAATGACCGACGTTGTCAGTGTTGAAAGCCTCACCGCAGCCTCCAGTCAGTGGAGTTGGAGACGCGGTGGCAAGCGGCCCGGGAAGGAGCGGCCCGCAGCCTTCGGTGAGGCCGGGAGAGCTCAGCGCAGCCCTGTCCGGCAGTGGGCCTCTGGTCGGGGGTGGGGGCAACGAAGCACACTTCCAGAGTTCTCTTTTGAGGTCCCAGGTCCCCGAGCAGTGCAGAGTTCCTTCACAGTATCAGTGTCCACCTGAAGACCCACCCAGTGAGTGAGGAGCCGTCCAGCAGCCCCTGAAAAACACGTTCCTCAAGGAAGTCGCTTTGCCACCGGCAAAAACAAAGTCTCTCTGAAGCTACAAGTTGCAGGTGGAAGGACATGTACCAAATACGTTGGTGTGTGTGTACCTTGCTCTTTCTGGAGTTCTCCCAAACTGAGCCAAGTTTGGTCGCAGGACTTTTCCCTGCTCTGTCCGTGTCCAGCCTCCCGGCCTTCACTTCACGTGGCACCCACTTACCCCACTGTCCTTTGGGGCCCATCTGTGTCCCTGCCGTACAACCCTGGCAAATGGGACCGCGTTCCACCTCACCCAAGGGGGCCAGTGGATCTAGAGGGGGGTGGAGCATGCCTAGCCCTTTGGCCATGGGCCACTGCTATCCCCAAATTCAGAATTTATTCACCTTTGTGACTGTCATTCTGAAATTTCAGTGGGCATGAGAATTACCCAAGTGTTTATTTAAAATGTAACTCTAGAGATGTAACTCTAGAGATGTCTTTAGGCCTGGGGTAGGGTCCAAGCTGCCTAAAAACCACATTTTGAGAAGCAATATACTATGCCTGACGTTGTGCGTCCTTACTTGAGGCTTAAATAAGAAGGAAATAATCTCTGTGGTCCTACAATAAACTTTCCTTGTTATCCAACCTCACAGGACATCACTAAAACATTGATGGGCCTTGGCTCATCCTAGTGAACCAAGGCGAGATGCTTGCTAAGTATCCCAAAGGAAACAGCTCACCGCGACTCCAACATTCCTTCTGTTAGGGCTCTACTCTGACCATGGTCAGCAGATACAAATATGGGCAGGGGTCTGACGTCCCGCCTCTCCATACCACACATCACTTACAGGCACTACAGAAACTTGATCATTGTCCGCCTGTCTGCAAAAAGACATGCTTGTTTGCGGGAGGGGTAGGAGGGACATTGGAAATGACACTGCTGTTGGAGGGGGACCATATGATCTGTCCGGTTTCTTACCAGAAGTGCAGGACCAGCAAAAGCGACTGGAGTGTACTCGTGTAAATGGAGGGAGATCTGGAGTCTGGCAAATGCAGGAAGAAATCAGTTCGAGGGTTTGGTTCTGATTAGTTACCTAGAGTGATTCCAAGCACTCTTGTTCCAAAAGTTCTTTTACTGAGTTCACACCCTTATCCTTTCTCACAACACACATATAGTGAGTCCCCCCACCCCCCAACACCTGATTCCCAATTCTAAACACCAGCAGGGGACTGAGAAGGAATTCTGGTTTGTCTCCTAACCAATCCACAACCAAGTAAGCAAACAGTTGACATGCCCCAAACCCGAAGTCCCAGGAACAGTCTTTCCTCTTGCAGCTGACAGACCTCATCCTTTACCGGCAAACAAAATGTTTCCACTCACTACGGAGGCAACAAAGTTCCTTATCGCTGCCTGGTTGGGTGTCATTTTTCTTCTGGTTTCCTATAGCACATTGTTGGAGACACCTCAGGCTCCGGATTCTCACCCAGTCATTCCCTAGGGCAGCTAAGTCAATCCTCTGGTGGCCTCTGCTGCCTGCACGGAACCTTTTTCCAGCAGAAGTGAGAGAGAGGACCCAGGAAAGAGGAGGAAGCGAGAGCAGAGGGCGGCAGGCAGAGCCGTCAGGGCTGCGCCGCGTCGTTGCGGGGACAGCTTAGGTAAACACTGTGCACTGGACAGCGGGTCACATGCCACTGGAGGGCCCGTCTGCTGGGGTCTGACCAGGGAGACGTTTGCACAGACCAGCCTCCCAGATGCAGGAGCTGCTTTTGGGGAGCAGCCTGGACCCGCCACCTGCTGCAACAAAGCATAAGAATAAAACACCTTTTTGTGGCTCACATTTCGAAAATGAAGTTGAGAAAACTGCCCAGCGATGAAATAAAATGAGAAGTTGGTCCCACTTTAGTTTCGTTGGAGAATACTGGTTGGTGGGAAATTAGTCAATGGAAAAAAAGAAAATAAAAATAGAATTACTTTATTAATTTTAGAAATCAGTAATTCAAAGGGTGCCTTGACGGTGGCTCGTGCGGTCGCAGCACACTGTTCTCCGCTCCCCGGGAAACTCTGCGGAACTCCCTCTCCCCAACCCTCTGCAAAGGGAAGAACAACTCTGGCAGATGATGTGGTTGGGATTTTAGCTTGTAGGGATTTAGCATCTGGAAAAGAAGAGGAAGCAAAATGCAAATAGCCAACGAGTCTCTTTTATATCATCTCTGTGTGGTAGCAGGAGGGGCAGAGAAGACCTAAGCATACTGGGGGAGGACCAAGGGGTAAAAGATACATGTGTGCTCTGACGGGGTGGGTAACCATGGTTGAATGTCTCCACTGCCAAGCTCCATCAAAATCCGGCTGATGTGTTGTCCTGCCCTCTCAGTACAAGTCTGGATTGGCTGACTGGCAACAATCTACTGCCACTTCTGCTTGAAGGCTCTGGGGACTGAGGCAGCAAAAATACACTGCGGACCCCGCAGCGCTGGTGGAAGCTTCGCCCTCAGCCAGGCCGGCACCCGGGAGGAGTTGATAGGTTCTTCCACCGCGTGTCTGTGGCTCATCTCTTAGTGGGAGCAGGTTCTGAAGAGAGAGAATCAACCACTGAGTGACCGAAATGAGAGCAGCGTCTGCTTTAGTTAACATTACCAAAGAATAAAAAATTTGAGGCCCAAATAAATAAAGTTCACCTCGAAGTAGGAAACTTTCTTTTTTAAAATTTTATTTAAAAATAATTTTTTTTCTTTGAGTAGAGAGAGGAAAGGAGGAAGAGAAAGATAAAAACATCGATGAGAGAGAACATCGATTGGCCGCCTCCTGCATGCCCCCACTGGGGATCGGGCCCACGACCTGGGCATGTGCCCTGACTGGGAACTGAACCGGTGACCTCTGGGTGGATGGGTGGATGCTCAGCCACTCAGCCACAGCGGCCGGCCTGAAGTAGGAAGCTTTCATTTGAACTTGTGTTGGAAACCCTTCCAAAACATTCCTGTTCTGCTACTGCCGCTTTTCTGTGTAGTTCTTTTCTTTCTTTCTTTTCTATTTTCCCTGATTTTATCCCATTGCTTCTTAAATAGAAGATGCTAAATATGTCCACCTTTTCTAGAAACAGAGTCAGCATTATTAGAATTCAACATTGAAACACATGGAAAAACCTCTCTGAGTATGTCTAAGTCTCCCCTCAAAGTCGGGCTGTCAGAAGACACTCTGCCCTGTACCCCCTGCCCCCACCCGCACCGACACTCCACTCCACCACCCAGTGTAAGAAATATCACCGTTACCCCGAGTCCCTGTGAGACTCTCCCGATTTCTCCCCATTCCCACGATCCTGAATTTTGTTTTTCCTTCCCTCATTTACTTTTTAAAAACAGGGTTATTTACTATATATACTCACATCCCCAGATCCTCTATCGCTTTGCTTTATGAGGTTCTGAATTTTATACTGCTGCTGCGACTACTCTCCCATGGGACTCAGCACGCAACTGGAAGAATGTCTAGGTAATAATATACTTAGGCAGAGAACTGCCAGGTCATAAATACTTGAATCTTCAACTCTCTAAAAATAATGCTGTACCGATTCGTTCCCCTCCAGCAGTGGGTGGGCTTCCCCGACTTCTCCACGGTATTCCCCAAGTTTAAAACTTTTGCAAATCAAGTGACTTATACAGTGGTATCCTACTGTGGTTTTAATGAGCATTTCCTGATTAGGAATGAGGCTGAGCATCTTTCCAAGTATCTATTTCGCATAAGTGTTTTTTCTTCTGTGAAATGCCTGGACATGCCTTTTGCTTATTTTCCTACTGAGTTATTGTTTATTGATTTTTTTAACAGCTTAATTGAGGTCTAATCCACATGCCATACAATTCACCCATTCAACGTGTGGAACGCAGGGGCTTTAGAGCGCTCGTGCCGAGCTGTGCCCCGTCGCCACAGGCAGCTCTGAACCGTGTCCATTGAGAGAAAGTGAACCCCAGACCTCCTAGCCCTCAGCCCACACACCTCACCCCCCGTCCTCGGCAGTCACTACCTTTTGCCTCTAAGATTTGCCCATTCTGGACATTTCATGGAAGTGGACTCATACAGTATGTGGTTCTGTGTATCTGGCTTCTTTCACTCATCATGTCATGTTTTCAACGGTCATGCATGTTGTAGCATGCACCATACTCTATTCATTTTTATGGCTGAATAATATTCCATTGTGTGTATATACTACACGTTATTTATTCACTAATCAGTCAGTGGGCATTTGGATTGCTTCCACCTCTGGGTTATTATTAATAATGCTGGTATAAACATTCATGTACAAGTTTTTTGTTCAGACATGCGTTTCATTTTTGTTGGGTACATACATGAGTGGAATGGCTGGGTCACATGGTACCTATGTTTCATGTTTTGAGAAACTGCCAAACTTCT